TCTGGCTCTAAAAAATTTATTATGGTTGAAAGTCGCTTGTTACATGAAAAACGGAGATTTTTTTTTTTTGAAGTGGACGACAATAAATTTTTTCGTGTAACGTTTATATTGAATGACACTTGATTTGCAATGTCCCACGACTACTATTATATTAATTTAGACATTTAGACAGACATTTTTGTCTAAATACTATTTTGACTTTAGACAAACCCCAAAAACAATTTAGACGCCCATCTATAACTGCAACAGATGATTATATTCGGTGGCCTACTTCAAGCTGTGCAATAGAATATTTTTAACAAAGTATATTTGGAAACGCCCCTGAAAAACCAAAAAGGCAAGCTCATTTTATTTATATTCAAACTTTGAACACACATCTATAAGAAAATTTGAATTTTTTTTTTTTTTAGTGACATTTCCTCCTTTATTTTTATCATGGAGATGGTTTACAAGTAGACAGTGATGAATGAAAAAAACAAATAATTTAATACTAGATCTTTTTGTCAAATTAACATCTGGATTTTTTCCTTTCTTTTCATGGCATCTTTTCCAACTATATTTTGTAGCGAGTGAGATTATCATATTTTATTGTGTCCGCCTATGAAATGAGACATGCTAAAATTTCCATTGTTTCATAGTCGAACATACAATATTAAAATAGTGTCACTTACGTGCCGCTATTTTAAACCCAGCAACCATTCTGATTTTTCCATGATTGGCTCTAATATTAATATATCAAATTCTGGATTACTACGGAAATTGATTCTAAATTTCTAAATTCTTAACCCACTATAATTATAAATGCAGGATGTGTGATATGTAATTTAAAAATGATGCCGTCATGTGCCAAGACAAATCTGGAACTATTTTTTGTATGAGCAATCATATGGTTCTAAAGAACTTACGTTGATGCACCAATTAGAGGATTACTATTATTGTGGTTACTTTTATTTAACTCTTAATAAACGATGTTTTTAAATGGGGTGGAGTTCTAACAAAAAATATGATTAGTGATCTTGCTTAATTGATAAAAATGAGTTACAAGGCTTGAAATACTTAATTTATATATGATAGTGAACCTAGAGTCAAAATTTTTAATATGATCGTTGACTTTGCAAACTTATCATTCGTTTAAATGCACATTTGCTATTATTTACAATTATATTTTCATGCTCGCATTTTTTTCAAATCCAATATATAGCAAATTCAATCAAAAATTAATGGCCCAAAAAGAATTTCTTGAGTTGAGCGGTGTTTGTATTAATTTAATTTAATTGAGAGGGCAAAGTGTCAAATAATTTTTTGGTTTCGTGGGTAGGAGTAGTGACAACTAAGATAAATTTCCTTTAGTTCTTTATTTTGCTCGGCTGAATTCTTGGTTTGCAAATAAGTAAATGCGTGAAAAGTCTTTAATTTCAAGTTTAATGTTTTTTCCTTTTTCTATGGTTTCTCTCTTTTTTATTTCAATTACTTCTTCCGCAACAGATTGAAATTTCAAGTGATTGTAATTGATAAAATCAGCCTAATCCCAAAAAGACCTCGAATAAGTTATGTGGGTAGAGATTGGAGAAACTGACATGCTTATCACATATTAATATGTTGGTAAAGTTGTTCATGTGGAGGTGGGCTCATGTAACTGACTTATCAAGTTTACGTCACAATTTTGTTCTCAATTAGTAGATTCCGTACATTTTTCAACTCCATATCACACTATTCTTTTTTGTCCTTACATTCCGTATACTAATAACTGTACAACTTTCATTATTTAGTACAGAAGTGCAAATGTACTATGTATTCTTACTAAAAAAATTGGCTAAAAATTCATTCGTTAGATGTGGCAAAAAAATTTAAATTATATCATAAACTTGATCCCACGTTCTGGAAAAACATTCCAAATCTAGTGCCAATACAAGTAAAATTATTTCCAATAAAATAAAATGAGTAGACCTGATATTGATCACGGGAATCAGATTTAATAAAACTTCTTACCATGAACATACAATTACTTACTTCATTGCCATAGAATTTTCTCCGCAGGTGAAGATTTGGACCAAGTGAGAGGATTTAGCAGTTTCAATAATCTTCAGGCCTATGTTGCCCCGAATTACTTATGGTATCACAAATTATTTTGACACTCAAGTATACTAATATCCCTATCAATATTTTTCAATTCCCATATCTATGTGACACACAAATTCACAATATATATATATAGTATAATATTAATATGTTCATTAATATTAATATTAACAGTTAAGGTTTCTTTCTAGTCGAAACGAGAGACCGTCCTATATAAGGAATGGATTTTCACAATTGATTTCAATTTTTTTTATATATACAGTTTAAAATACTTTTACAAGGGTATCATGTAGCCCATTCTTGCAATAAATCATGTGTAAATAATTACACAAACTTGAAGCTTTACACTTTGTTGTTATCATATCTTTTGAATCCCTTTGAATCCCACAACTTTCATAATATGATTTACTCGAAGAAAAATTGCCTGAAATTAAACATTGCACAGAATGTAAAACCACTGAATCAGCTAAATTTCATCAACGAAAGGCAATAAATGGAAAGAAGCTGAGAACAACAACTTAGTGAAAGTAACATGTTGTTTTATGTAACATGTTATATGAATTTTGTAGAAAATCTTTTAAAAAGAGAACCTAGGGGAGTAAAAACCACAGATGCGGAAGGGGAAGAGGAAGAGGTAAGTGAAAAGATTGATTTCACTAGAGCCATCAAGGTCCTATATACGATTTTTATGAAATACGAAGATTGCTCCAAGAAATAGAACCAAGCTTGAAGGTGTTTTTTGACCAACTCTATTTAGCAGCTCAGCCATTTGAACGTAATAGACCATATGAAGAGATTAATGGTGGTGTTCATGTGTTATCTTTTTCTTGTTTTAAATAATACAAAAATTAACTCTTTTAAGTTCGACCTTGCATTCTATCTAGACTCGGTAGATACAAGCCTTGGAGTAACTACAACATCAAGAGTAGTAGACCGTAAAAATAAGCAAGTTGCAGATGAACATGAGAAATATGTAAAGAATGCACTTACAAAATATTCAAAAAAATACATTCTTGTTGAATGTTGACGATTATCATAGATTCACGTCCAGAAACAATCAGTATCCTTTAATTACTAAAACTTTGTTACTTCTAGGAACAATCTACAAACATTTTTGCAATTACGTATAATGTGATTACACTAACTATACTAATTTGAATAATTGTAGTGTATATACTCACGTGTGGGCATGGTTATCACAATCATTGTCTACAAAGATGTCAATATAAATGTTTGATATCTTGGATTATCTTCAAGTTGGAATCAAAAAAAATGTCAACACACTAAAAGAAAGTATGATGAAAAATATTAAATGAAAATGAATTTATCGAAAATAACGAAAATACAGTTGATGATGATCCGGGCAATGTTGAATCAGCAACAGATGACAGCAACAATGGAAATTTTATTAGAACAAAAAAATTTTATGGGTTGTAAATTTTGTTTTTATTAAATAAATTTGATTGATTTTTCATACATTGTTCATTTTTCGTCGCAATCATGTATCTTAAATTTGTTGTGTTTACAATCATTTCATTGACATTCATTATATTAAGATTATTTTGATTATATAGAGAGATATGGTCAAGAGAAGAGTTAGGAAGAGAGTTATTCTTCGACCAAGTCAAAAACCAACCCTTTAAATACATT